TTACTAGACAGCACCACAAATTAATTAATCAGTAAAACGTGTTGTTGAGTTAATGTTATTTATGTTAAATGTATTATTTATAAAGCTGACGGACAGCCTACACAACAGGCAGCTAATGACTCCTGGCAGGAGACATCACAGAGACTACGTCAGAGGTCTTTGATAGTACCTGTGCAGGGGTCTTTGGGGAGCTCTGTGCAGCAAAGCATGGCCAGGTTTGGATGTTGTCAGTCAAACGATATATTAAAATGTAAATATGTAATTAGGATGTAGTTGAATATTTTTTTCTTTTGAAATTAACACAGACCTTGATCTTTAAATGATTGTCCTACATCACTATTCTTTCTCAGTTAGAGGTGTCCTCCATTGTGAATTTAAATTATATATTTTTAGATCTACAAATGATACATCTTAATTTTTTTTTTCACATTTTCTTTCAGGAGTTTCCCTGGACTGTTTAAAGAATGAACTAATCCGAGACCCCCTTTGCATTGGACTAAAAAAAGGTCCAGTAGCAAGGTTACACCTGTTCAGTTCTTCCTTTTGCAGAAAGCCTCAGACAAAACTCCCAAACACACTGAAGAGCTCATGCTTCTACAGGCTGGGTTGGGAAGAAATACAGTGAGTATTTCTGAGGATGCTAGCCATAAAGAGGTGTTGTGTAGAAAGAAATTACTAAAGCTGCATTTAGGTGTAGTTAAAAAATCTTTTATTAAAACTATCCTTGTATTACTTGTATWCACAGGTCACAGAAATTCTCTGTGAGGTGTTTCCAAAAGTGAATCAACTGGAGGGGGCYTGGATGCTCTACAAAGCTATGGGTAAAACCATGTCTTTGTTTTTCCAAATGTATCTTAAATTTAGAGTGATTTTGTTGTTACTGTTGCAATTCTGTTTGAGAATTGAGCTTCAAACAAACAAATATACTGTATATATATATTTTTTTGAATTACAAAAATAAACAAAAATAAATAAAAATAAGGAGGAAATGAATGGAAAATGGACACTTCATGTAAGATTGACTTTTTATCCCGTAATACTATGACTTTATTCTCGTAAGATTA